GTGGGGTCTCCAGGTTAGGGGGGAGAACAGATCTTATTTGGCAGAAGAAGAGCCAGTGCCCCAGGCGAGACTGGAGCAAGGAGGAAGATTCTGCTGCTTGATTCCATAATTCATTAATTCAGCAAGCCCCATGGCTTTCCTGTGTCCACTGCCCGTGCTTGTTGCACGGACGCCTTTGGAAGGGCCGTCAGGGGAGAACGTGGGACTCTGTGTGCACAGAGGCCTTTTCTCTTCAGAGCCCCTCAGAGCCTAGGAATTGTAAGGCTGGAAATCAGCACCAAGCAGGCACCCACAGAGGAGCCTTTCAGGGGCCTCATGACGTTTGTCCTCACTCCGGGACGCTGCGGGGTCACGCAGTCTGGGACCTTCAGCCTGAGCAGTTGATGGTGCCGGGCCGCAGGACCTCATCAGTACACTTCACCAGACAGCCGGGAGGGTTAGCGTGTGCCCGAGGCCTGGAGTCGGTGGGTTTTAGTGGTAGCTCTTGGGATCTTTGTGCTTGCTTGTTGAGCGTATTTACAGATGTCTAACAGATGATCGGATAAAACCCAGTGATTATCTGGAAGAGGGATGTCTGGTTTCTTTTGTCTTCTGATTTGTGGAAATAAATGATCGCAGAGGGAGCCAACTCAAGTCTTCAGACACTATGTTTTAGTATCTTTATTCTGTAGTAACATTTGTACTTTTGTAACAGTGATTGGAGGGGACATATCGTTCACAGTGACTTTTCTCCTACTCAGGTTGCTTTTTAAATCAAAAGGGCCAAAAGATGGTATTAAAAATGTTATTAGAAGGGGAAAAAAAAACCACTATATTCTTTCTTGTGGTCCCCTCTTAAGGACTGGATTCTCTGAGAACAGAGACAATAGAGAAATAATGTGTCCCCCATGTATACGCATGTATCTGAGGAAACAGAGGCTGAGAAGATGGGGCAGACCTTTTTAACTAGGAGATGGGGAGCGAAGCTGGACCAGACCCAGAAGAAGCTGGCAGCAAAGGTTTTCTCGTACTCATGTGGCCTTTGAGTCCTGAATGTCCTAGAGTCGGTGAAATGTCGCCGCGCAGAGCCCACGGCGCCGCTGCTGCTGTTTCTCTCATTGTGAGTGGGAAGGGTTGCCTGGGGAGGACCTTTAATGAAGTGGGTGTAGGAGCGTGGAGGCGAGTGAGTCTGCTGACAGGGAAGGGACATGGGGTCTGTTTGGGTCTGTACACGGGAGCCCCAGAGCTGCACTGCGTGTCCCCACTGGTCACTTGTGGTAGAAGCAGAGGCCCCGGGCTGACAGGTACCCGTGGTGACCCCACGACACCCCAGCAGGCATTTTGGAGTTCCGGCGCCACAATCCTGGCAGCCTGTCAGAGTGTCTGTCATTCGCTTGGCGTCCCCCTTGCCCCCGGCCCCAGGGTCTGATGTGGCTCCGGGCACAGAGACTGCCGTGGGACACGTTTCTTTCCTGTCTGCTCTGGGTTTGGCCTTTCATTACTCTGCCTCAGTCACGGCTCTGGGTTTTCCTTTTCTGGTTGTACGACGTCATCAGCATACCACCTAGTCCTACAACCAGAAAGTTAGAAGACTGGTTTTGGTTTCGTTTGTTGTTGTTTTATGTTTTTATTTATTTGTTTTTAAAGATGTTATTTATTTATTTGACAAACAGAGATCACAGTAGGCAGAGAGGCAGGCGGGGGGGTGGGGGAAGCAGGCTCCCTGCTGAGCAGAGAGCCCGATGTGGGGCCAATCCCAGGACCCTGAGATCATGACCTGAGCCAAAGGCAGAGGCTTTAACCCACTGAACCACCCGGGTGCCCCTTATTGTTGTTTTAAAGCCTTATATATTTAATGAGAGAGAGCGTGTGCACAAGCCTGTGCAAGCCAGGGGAGGGGCAGAGGGAAAGAGAATCGGAAGCAGGCCCCACACCCAGTGCAAGCCTGATACGGGGTTCGATCTCTCCTGCCTGGGATTGTGACCTGAGCTGACATCAGGAGCCCGATGCTAAACTGCCTGAGCCACCCAGGCGCCCCTGTTTGTTGTTGTTTTTAAGCGAGCATAGCAACTAGCTATGGCCGCCGTGGCCTCAGTGACCTAGAGACAGTACTGTGATCCTGGCGGTCCCCAGGACATAGCCTGAGCATGCCGTAGGAAAAACAAACCCTTCTTACTTAGCGTTCCAGCTTGTTGTTTTCCTGGATTGATCACCTACTCTGTTAACTAGATTTGGTTCTGACTTACTGAGACTTGGCTCTGTTTTCTCCAAGAGTGTAAGACTGTGGTCTAAATCGGGGTTCTCAAACTATGGTTCACAGGCTGGCCACCCATTTTGTAAATAATTTATTGAAACACAGCCACACCCACTCATTTATGTATCATTGTGGCTGCTTTTGAACTGCAAGGCACAGTTGAGTAGTTGCAACAGACTTTATGGCCTGCGAAGCTTAAAATATTTACTGTCTGGCCCTTTACAGAAAACGTCTGCCAACCTCTGGTCTAAATTTATACTCTGTGTTTAAATATTTCCCCAAAACCACTCCGTTCCAATTTGTAGAAACTTGGATGGTTCAGTACTCAGAGATTGTTTTTCTTGATGATTTCAGACATATGTAGTCTGAGTTTCCTATGCTGTGCTCAGCTCACTATTCATTTATTTGTATATTCTGGGATGTAGTGAGACCAGAAGATCTCGCTTGTGTCCTAGACATTAAATTCACAGTGAGGACTTTAGAATTTACGACCTACAGTATTCCACACTTAGGGGAAGGCTACCTGCCTGTGTAAAAAAACATTTCTCTAGGACAGTGTGGGTGGCTTGGGTAAGCCGGTTTGCTGCTTAGAATTTATCCTCGGGGTGCCTGGGTGGCTCAGTCGTTTAGGGTTTGCCATCAGGCTCCCTGCTCGGCAGGAGGCCTGCTTCTCCCTCTCCCACTCCCCCTGTTTGTGTTCCCTCTCTCAATGTCTCTGTCAAATAAATAAAGTCTTAAAAAAAAAAAAAACTTACCCTCTATAACTGTAGGTGGTATCTTGTAAATGAAAAGGGAGTGCCCAGTTTTGTGGGTACACAGTGATGATATTTGGATCTAAAATGAATCAATGAAGACAGTGAAATCTCTATGAAGCATTATTTCTTTTATATATATCCTGGTGAAAAGTTTCAGGATCTCTCAGTGAAAATTATACTTTTATTCATGTAATACATACGCTGAGGATGTTACATATTTCTTTAGTGAATTTCTTTTTTTAAAAGCAAGTTTCTTGGGTTGTAATTAATATGCAGTCTTAGTACATTTCTATTCTATTGAAAAGCTCATTTATTTTATGGGAGACGTCGTAGACTCTAGATTTTTTTGGCCTGTTCAGGTTATCACTCTGTACGGTTTCTCTTTTTCAGTCTTTGCTTTGTCTGGGCACTTGCATATTACAGGGGCGAGGCACTATTCTGAAACTATTTAGAACAGGCCATTCCTTCGTATTTTGGGAATGTTTAGCTTTTCATCATGTTTGTTCTTCTGTGTGTACCTTTTTTAAAAAATTCTATAAATATTTACCAAGTCACACAGCATTTGTTATGCTGAAGAAGAAATGATAATAGTTCTTGTCCTACAGATGCTTACAGCTGGGTATAAAAAAGCATAAATATTTTTAAAGCTGCCACTAGTGTGGGCCTTAGAGGAATCACAGGGCGGAATGTAGTTAAAACTAAGGGAAAGGGGCTTCCCATTCAGCTTTCAGCTCAGGCTTTCTGAGGCTCTGACCAGAGCAAGCGATAAAATACAGCAGAGGCTAAAAAGAGGTCGGAGGAAGATGGAGTGAAATTAAAAATTAAAGTTGCATGTGATACGTGGACAAGAAGGATTAGAGTCGCCTCTGAGGCCTACGGAAGCAGGGGTTTGAGCATCACCGTTTCTTGGTGAATTGGCTGGGGCTGGGGGATGCCCGGGAAGGCTTCACAGAAGAAATACTACCTTGCGGGACGCCTGGGTGGCTCAGTCAGTTAAGCGTCTGCCTTTGGCTCAGGTCATGATCCCAGGATCGTGGGATCGAGTCCCGCATCGGGCTCCTTGCTTGGTGGGGAGCCTGCTTCTCCCTCTGCCTGCTGCTCCTCCCCCTGATCATGCTGTCTCCCTCTGCCTCTCTAACAAATACATAAATAAAATCTTAAAAAAAAAAAAAAAAAAGAAAGAAAGAAATACTACCTTGCTACGTACCTGGTGGATGCTTGGGAGGAATTCACCCAGTGTACGAGCGGAGGAGAGGTGTGGCCCAGCCCAGCACGACATCCTAAGTGATGGCTGACAAGTCGTTCCGGAGTGTGACACCCTGGAAGGGCATGGTCGGGGTTGGGGTTGGCGAGGTAGGCAAGTCCAAAGACCTCCGCCCCCGAAGGTATAAAGAAGAGGATTGCTGGCTGAAGGGGCCAGAGGTTTGGAGTGGGCCTGGGGGAGAAGGAAGGCGGTCTTTGAAGGGCAAGGGAGGAAGGCGCCATTGTCTTCAGAAGATGTGATGTGAGTGGCTTTGAACGCAGCATTTACGAAGTTCTAGGAGATGCAGTCAGGAGTGGTGCGCAGAGGATTAGATTGTGGACGGTCTTGAAAGCCAAGAAGTGGGGCACCTGGGTGGCTCAGTGGGTTAAGGATCTACCTTCGACTCAGGTCATGATTCTAGGGTCCTGGGATCGAGCCCCCTATCGGGCTCCCTGCTCCTCGGGAAGCCTGCTTCCCCCTCTCCCACTGCTTGTGTTCCCTCTCTTGCCACGATTCTCTGTCAAGTAAACAAATAAAATCTTTAAAAAATTAAAATTAAAAAAAAAAAAAGGAAAGGAAAGCCAAGAAGTTTGGATTTTGCCTCACACCCAAGGAGAGACAGGCGATGAAAACCCGTTCACCCTGCCCTCTGCGATTACAAGGGTGACTCTGTGGCCCCGTGAGGCCCACCCCTCTGCCTGTGTGCTCCCTCCAGCCCCCTTCTCGGGCCTCTGCAGGGCCTCACCACCACACTCGCCCACTGTCCCCTGCATCTTCACTTTTTCCCAGATTCTCAAAATCCTAAGGTTCGCCATGGTGCCTCTTACCCTGACTGAACGGCCTTCCTGTCGCCTTTTCCCTCTGCTCCGCTTTACAGCCAACATCCCTGAGATGGCTCTGTGTCTCTGCGCTTCCCACCCTCCTCCCGCTGAGGTGACCCTGTTACTGCCCCCACAGAAACTGCTCGACTAGTTCTGCAGGTCGAGGGACTTGGCCCCAGGGGTCTTGGCTTTCTCAGTGCTGTCGTTTGAGTTGAAGCGGTTGTCGGCTAGGTCCTTCTTGAAATGCTTTCTCTGCTAGCTAGGCCTCTGGGTTCTCATCCTGCCTCACCAGTAGCTTTTTTTGGTCTTTTTCCTCTTTCCAGCCTGTAAATGTTGATGTGCCCTTTATTCTCAGAAACCGCTCATCCCGGCCCATGACTTTAAATGCCATCCACAGTCAGCCAGCTCAGAGTTCTGTCTGTGGCCTGGACCGCTCCCCTGAGTTGCATACTTGAATCTAACCACTTAGTTAGCATCTCTGCTTAGATCTCCAATGGGCTTGTTAAATTTAATGTATCCAGAATGTAATTCTTGATTCCTCTCCTTCCCTAAACCTGCTTCTCTCCTATTTTCCTGGTCAGTAACTGGTAACCGTTATGCCAAGTGCCCAGCCAAGGAATTTGAAGGGATACTTGACGCCCTTCTCTCTCTCCTTTGTCATCTACCGTCAGCCCATCCACAGACCTACCTTTGTGATATACACCAAATCTAATCACTTGTCATCACCTTGACTTTCCAAACCCACAGCACTTCTTCTGTCCCCTGGATTGTCACAGATAGCCTCCTCACTGGTTCTTTCCTTCCGCACTTGGCAGCAAGAGTGACCCATATAATTCATTAGTCCTCTGCTCAAACCCATTGGTGTCTTCCTGTCACTCTCATAGATGACCCATTGGTGTCTTTCAGTCACTCTCATAGATGACCCATTGGTGTCTTCCTATCACTCTCATAGATGACCCACTGGTGTCCTCCAGTCATGCATCATGGAGGACGCAGAGTCCCCACGACCTGTGGTCTTGCTCTGACCTCCTCACCTGACACTGTTTTCAGTCTTTACTCTCTAGAAACTGTGGAAAGGATACGGTCGGGACAGTTCACTAGAGAAAGATAAGTGGCTCAGGAATGTATAGATAGATGTCCAGCATCCCCAGGTCTTAAGGAAAAACAAAACAAAGTGCAGTACAGTCTTTTATCTACCATTTTGGTAGAGTCGAATGGTGATCTGTAAGACTTTTGGCAAATAAGCCCTGACTTACAACAATAGGGGGTTCCTTTTTGAGGACAGTTTGGCAAGAAGTGTCGAGCCTTAACATTTTTCATGGTTTCTAGACTAGAAAGACTTTTAAAGAAATTCCTATCACAGAAGTAGTTGGTTGACAACAGAAATTTTTGCCTATAATTACCAAAGATTCGAAACAACCTAAATCATTAATGAGATAGTTAAATAAGTTGTGGCCCATTTATACAACAGAATACTACGTTGTGTTAAGAAAAACACAGAAACATCAAAATATGTGCAGCTGTGTGTGAAAAAAATCACGTTACCAATTAAGATGTATAACATAGACTCTTAAAAGCACATGAATGTGGATTTGGAAGAGAAACAGGAAGGATATATAGCTGGAGATTGACAGTAGTTACTGCAGTCTGTGACATTCAAGGCAGTCTATTCTCATCTATTTTCCAATGTGTAATTTTTATAATTAGCAACAATAAGGGAAAGAAAATGAAGGCTGGGTTACCGGGATGCACCATATATACTTCTCTTTGAAATGGAAGCTGCCGGGGGCGCCTGGGTGGCTCAGCCCATTAAGCGTGTGCCTTGGACTCAGGTCATGATCTCGGGGTCCTGGGATCGAGCCCCATGTTGGGCTCCCTGCTCGGCCGGGAGTCTGCTTCTCCCCCTTGCACTCCTCCTACTTGTGCGCTCGCTCTCTCTCTCTCTCAAATAAATAAATAAATAAAATCTTTAAAAAGGAAAAACGAAATGGAAGCTGGGGCAGGAGTTCCTTCCGTATCCCAGTCCCTTTGTCACCACCCCCCTGGCCATAACGAGCAGTACACCTGTCTGCGGACGGCGCCTTCTCTCCAGTCCCGAAGGAAGACTTGTCCTTCCTTCCTGTCTGAATTCTCCCTGCCCTCTGACCCCTCTCGCCTCTGTCTTCAGTAGCTTAGTTTGTCCACCGGCTCTTATCAGAGCTCGGACTTGCGCAGGTCTGCCCCGGTGCCCCCGCTTGGGGCAGTAAGCCGTGCTGGCTGTGTGTCCAGCACGGGACCCGAAATGTGCTCCTCTAGATTACTTTCTAGAACCTGCTTATATTTTTCCAGTAGATAACTGTGTTTTCAGTTACTCTTTCCTTGACTGATTCGCACGATAAACATTCGCGGAGCACCTTCTGTGGGCCGAATGCCAGGGGTGTAGAGATGAGCGATTTACGGCTTCAGTTTTCCAGGCGCTCGCTCGGCACTGAGATGCCTCCTGAAATAGAAATGAAAAACCAGAAACTCGTGGAGTTCCAGGTTTTTCCTCGGAGGGAGAGGTACACTGTAGAAGTAGGTTGTCTTGTCCACTGAAAGCCTTCCCTTCACACCCCTCAGAGAAACGCACGTTACCCCACAAGGAGGTACTCCTGGCCGCCCTGCAGGACGGCCACGGGGAGGGCGGCAGAGCAGCTGGCGGAAATGCCAGGTGCGGCCGGTCTGGGAAGCAGGTGGACAGTTTTGTGCTTATTTTACCCTGGGGCTCAGTCATCTCACTCCCGGGGAGAAATAAGGGCATATGTTCACACCAAACCCTGTACGGGGTTTGCAGGGGCTCTAATTCCTAAGTCCCAAAAGCTGGAAACAACCGAGACGTCGCTCACCGGGGGAGCGGATCAAAGGCGAGAGCGCGGCGGTCGCGTGGAGCTGGCCCCGCGGTGGGAAGGGACGGGCTGCGCATGCGCCCAGCGGCCCGGCTGGATTGCACGTGTTCTGCCGCCGAAAGGAGCCGGACTCGAGAACCACGTGCTAGAGTACGTGCTTCCATCTGTGGGACGAATGGAAGAGACAAAACGAGGGGAGAGGAAAGAAGACAGAGCAGTGGGTGCCCAGAGCTGTAAAGGGGCACATGGGAATTTTAGGGCTGATGCAGCTGCTCTGTCAACTTTGTATCTCTTTGTCGAAATTTCTAGAATCATATGTGAAAAACAGTGGGTTTTACATTGTATAAGTTATACCTCAGTACACCTGGCTGAATTTTTTTTTTTTTTTTCCTGAGGCAGCAGAAGAATATCTTTTTGCTAGGGGCTATTTCACATTTTCCCACAATCTAAACAATATGAAGGCATCGGGCAAAAAGCCTCATTCCTACCCTTGCCACCCACCAGCGCTAAGTGTCTTTGAAGCGTCTCTGTGCAGGTATCCTCAGAGATGCTTACGTGTTCTTGTTTATATTTCTTTCCCATGCAGAACACAGCTCACGAATCTGATTTTCTGCAGCAGCTGCTTCTCCATGTAGTGTATGTTTTATAGTGCATCAGGATCTGCCATTCTTTTCCACAGCTGCAAGGCAAGAATGTAGCTGTCGGTGTGCATATAATTCATTTAACCAGCTCTCCCTTGGTGGAGCCAGATTTTTTCCCATCTTTCCCCATCATACGCAGTGCTGCCCCAAAGAACCTTGTCCACACTGTCTGTCCTGCTAGGAACAGATCTCATGCATTTGATCTCTCAGGGAACAGTTGGAGCCTAACATGAATTCGCAATTTGCACATGTGTGTTATTACCCTTGAGAAACACTAGGTGAGCGTAGAAAATCATGGAATGGAGTCATGTAGGAATACACAAAACACGCATGCACTCACCTCAGACTGCCATCAGCGACTTCCTCTCCCCATTGAGTCACACTGGTGCACACCCCAGGTTACGCCTTCCCTCCAACCCTCCGATCTCCAGTAACCCTCCTTCCTCCACTTCACAAAAGCCCAGCAAGCCGCAACCCCCGGTGCGTCCTTCCCGGGCATCCTGCTTGAGTCTGTGCTCTGCCATTTTTACTAGGTGTGTCACTGACAGGGTTTGAGTGTTACGCCCCTAACTTCATTTTTGCCAGAAGCCCTGTGGTTTTTCTTGCTTGATTTTGCGAATGACCCATGATACATGTGTGCCGTGTTACACAGAACTGACTGTACCGTGTGCGGGTGTATCTGTAGACTAGATTTCCAAGTGAAGAAGGGCCCACGGTTTTAGTTCTGTCCAGTGGGATTACTGCTATGATAGGCTGAAGTTTGTACAGGTGGTTGGGGTTTTCCTTTTTCATAGGAAGTGTTTATGATAGAGCTGAAGGGTGTGTTGTCATCCTGGCTTGGGAATCACTCTGCTCCCTTTCGTCCTGAATCTGTGGAGGGGTTTGGATGTCTGATGGGAGTTGAGGAAGCTCTTTGAGTGTCGTTGGGAGGCCGATAACCTCGTGGAAACAGGAATCGCAGAACAAGGCCAAGTGCATGTCTGGCCAGCAGAACGTCTCCCTCTACTTTTTGAGAGTCTCCTGAAACAAAAAGAGGGCTTCAAGCCAAGACACAAGGAGGGACTAGCTATCAGAATGGGAAGTGTCCGGTGTGTGAGCCCATGACATTTCAAACACATTCACCAAGTACTACCCAGAAAGAATGGCCTTCAGAGGTGTTGTAAATCCCAGAGCTCAGAACTTGAGCCCAGAGTGAGGGCACTCGGAAGACATCTGCTAAGAGGAGCCGATGCTTTCTTTCCTAAAGAATGTGAAGGCAAAAGAGTCAACAGTCAGAGATTAGGGAGAACATTTAGGAAAGGTACCCAAGTGTTTGTTTTATTTGGTATTTAAAGTTTTCAAAAATTTTCAGGCTCTCCCAGCTATCTTTCCACTACTTCTTCAGAGAGTTCTATTTAAAAACAAAATAATTCATAATTGAGTAGGAAAATCTGACTGCAAGAAGTCCACTCAGGGCCCTGGTTCCTTCAAAATCCGCTCGTACTACTGGAACCGGAGGAGGTAAATGACCTTATCAGTCTTGAAAACTGAGTGACAATAGACTATGCTTTTTCAATACAGTTGTTTTTTCCCCCCATTTTTGTTTGGTTGATAAAATTGCTTTCTGTGTCAGAAAGTGGCTTCAGTATTGTAATACTGAAGAGGTAGAAGTTAGGAAAATAAATTAGATACAGAACCTTTAAATAAGTTAGTATTTAAAATTTAACAAAGAAGGAAGTAATTTGTTTTCTTAGGTAATGGGAATGTGGCAGTCTGATCTGGAGACTGGTGTTTAAGCCTGTGATTTTCTTGTCACCACTGATTTTGAAACCCTGCTCCATTGTTTGGGGATTGCACGGCTCGCTTCTGCATTTTTTTTTTTTTTTTTTCATAAAGACGTTGGAAAAGAAGAGTATCTCACACATTGTCAACTCTTTGAAAATAGTAATTACTGATTCAGCTAAGCTGCTTTCATTTACTGTGTTACCTACTGAGGACTTCTTGACTGATATTTCTCTATTAAAATTTTGATTTGATATTAATATCATGACACCATAACAAGAAATGGAATTTCAAACCCTTCATCTTAATGGAGAATCCATTTGCATTCCTCTGAGGCCTCTTGCCCTGTTGGATGGTTAGAAAGCTTTATGTCAGTTCTCTACTTACTTTATGGTTATTTGCTATAACTGTCTTATTTTTAGAAAAATGTCTTATGTTTTAACTCTTCCAGGATCTTAACATTGTCCATCTTATAGATACAAAATTCTGCAGGAATTAGATATTAATAGATATTTCAGTACCTTCTTTGAAACACAGGACTACTCATGCCTGACTGTTCTTAAAACTCTATTCTTTTAAAAAAAATTTTTTTAAGATTTTTTTTTTTTTAATTTGACAGAGAGAGATCACAAGTAGGCGGCGGGGCGGGGGGGGAAGCAGGCTCCCTGCTGAGCAGAGAGCCCAATGCAGGGCTCGATCCCAGGACCCTGAGATCATGACCTGAGCCAAAGGCAGAGGCTTAACCCACTGAGCCACCCAGGCACCCCTTAAAACTCTATTCTGAAGAACCTGAGTGTGGCTCAGAGGGATTAGCTGGTTATTCCTTTGTTTCCCATCCTCCCTGTCCACCCCCCCCCCGATTATTCTCATAATATCCCAGATCACACGCTTAGGAAAACGATCAAAGCAGTGGTAGGACTCCATCTTAAGCATAGAGAAGAAACTTCCCCTCTGTGTAGGTTTTTGAGCACTTACATACCAATGTGCTTCATTTAAAAGACGTAGTTTCCACTTTTAAAATGAAAGTGGATATGTAACTTTATCGTTATTCATAAAAGAATCCTTATTGAGGATTTCTCTGTGCCCCAAGGACTGTGCTCCCTCTTTCATTCCCCACCCATCCCCCCTTCCCCAGCACCCTCTGAGGAAGGCCCTGGGGCGATCCCCAACTCTAGTTCGGGGAGTGGATGTTTATGGAGAAACTTTCCCAGGATCACACGGTTCGACTTGTGAGCAGTAGAGAGAAGGCGGCAGCCCATTCCTGGATCACCAGAGCCAAGCTCCGGCTCTTAAATAGATAGGTTGGCTTACTAGTTTGAGTTAAGGGCATATCTGTCACGTGATGGGTGTAAAAACATTGTTTAAAAATATTTATCATTTCTTTAATCACTTAGCCCACAATTGCTGCTTACCTCTTCTTATTGTCAAAAATAGTGGTATTATTTCACACGAGACCTTGTTCATTATTCTTTAGCCTGATTTTCCAGGAGGGTCCTGCCAGATGCTCCATTCATGAGGCTGGCAGTTACTTCTTGATCTGATTTCCTTGTGAAACGACATTGTTTGATTCCAGACTGCAGTGCGGACAGTACCCAAAGAATGTGTTTTAGGGTTAAGCTGCCTAATTTTGCTTCAGAGTTTCCTCGTGAGAATCTTTTGAATGAACACAAGTATTATCATAGCCAAAGTCGCTTTTCACTTTGACTTTTGTATCTCTTGAGATCTTTCTCTGGCCCTCTCACCGTCCCTCGGCCCCCGCGCACACTCGGCCTTGCACACGTGCACACACATGCCGCAGACACTAGTTGTGGCTTCCATGAAGTGGTTTCACGTTCTTGTGTTCTTGGAATAACTAAATGGTATTATTCAAGAGGCCTTTTGGAAAACTCTTCTTATGGTAGGAGTCGTTAATCGGTGAGGTGGGCAGGGACTCACGGTGTTGAAAATCAGCTAGAGATTTAAGTGAAAGTGGCGCAGTGGATGAATTAGCATTCTTTCTGGATCTATAGCATTTAATGGTTTTTATCTGGTATTTATTGAAGTGTTCTGCTTTCATATAATGTCTGCTATATGAAATGGTAAAAATAGCATATCTCTTTTGCAAAGAAAATGGGATGTTTTCAAAAATGCAGAGGTTTCTGCTGAATCAACACTGTAACCGTTTTGAGAAAAAAAATGTAATATTTTACTGTTATGATAACGTTTCTCTCATTCTCTAGAAATTAATTAGCCCCTGCGTGGTTACCCCAGCCTTGGCCCTCCTTTTTATTACATTTTAAGAAGAATCTTTTCGTGTTGTTGTTGTATTGCTTAAACGGTGTTGCTTATTATAACTTGAACTATTATGAAAGCGTTCTTAATTTTTAAGGCGATTCGGGTTTTGTTCTCTTAAGTGACCCTGTATCTCTTTTTCTCCTACTGAAGCAAATGAAAAAACACCCTTGCCGCCAGTGTGACAAATCTTTCAGCTCCTCACACAGCCTGTGCCGTCACAATCGGATCAAGCACAAAGGCATCAGGAAAGTTTACACCTGCTCGTAAGTCGTGATTTCTAATGTGGGAAGCGCAGGGAAATTAACAGCGGAAACGTTCAGGTTTTTCAAGTGTTGCCGTTAACTTTCCATTTCTCTGCTGTCGTTTTTGTAGATTTCCATTTTCAGCCGTATTCTCTTGTTTTGACATACGGTTTCTTGACTGGGTTGTAACACTTAAAAAAAAAGTCAAATAAATAGGAGTAGCCTCTTGCCTACCCCGTATGCTCCTGGGGATATACAGCTTTGTTGTCCAGAGCTGTGTATCTCCTATACCTGAGCATCTTGGAGAAGTGGTTGATTTGCAGGCACACATTTGAGTGAGATGCTTTTTGGTCATGAGAGGCCCAGGGAGCTGCCAGCAGTCACTGGCAGGTTGGTTGTCTGGTTGGTTGGTTCACAGCAGACTCTGATAGCGCCTGCTCGTGGAGTCAGTCTGAGGCTGGCCTCTTTCCTCGTGCAGGGCAGCCTTTTCTCAGCACGTGCTTTCGGCAAAGAGACCAAATTCCAGGAATTGAGTGGGCCAGGACACTGAGTGGACGGTAGAGCCGCTCTGGACCTCCACGAGCTCTTTCCTTGTATGTGACTTCTTGTATCCTTAGTGGAAGAGTTTAGCACCTGCTCAGCCAGAGTATGCCTCGAGTGAATTGGTGTAACGTCTCCTAAAAGAGAGGACTGACGGACGCAGAAGCCGTGTGGCCACGTGACGCGTGTGACATGACCAGGCACAGGGTATCGTGTGGCTCGGGACGCTCGTGAAGGTTGGCTGTGGGTTCAGCGGGGCTTCGCTGGTCTCAGTTAGCTAGGGGAGGTTTCTTGGGTAGGGAGACTGGGACACCGACCCGCCTTCGGTGAGATTGAAGCTGGGAGCGATTTTGGTGAGGTGAGAACATCCCGTGACTAAGGCCTGCGCATGTGAGACCGCATTGCTAGGGTCGGAGAATTTACCAGGAAGCCCTGGCCGAGGGGAAGGTGGAAAGGGACTCTGGCGTGGCTTTGTCCTTCCTCAGAGAGGTTTGTGTCTTTCTCGTGGGAGTCACTGTGAGGCTGCGAGGTGCTCGGATTGTCTGGCAGATTTCCTTTATTCTGTGGTGTTGGTGCTGGTTCCCGAGGCTGTCCCAGGAGCGGGCCTCGAATACATGATCATTGGGTGTGGGGCCAGTCATTACAGAATGTCCAGAAGCCTTTTGATTCTGCGTAAGGGCCCAAGGTGCTGTGCACACCCATTCACCGAAGCGGTTTTCTTCTTGTGTGCCTTACAGCATCTGTAGTCACTGTGGCCATTAACTTTGTCTCTTTTTGTCCATTCATTAAGAAAATGGTGACTTCCTACCTTCTAAAGGAAAAACTAGTCATAATCTACAGGTTTGGGGTTTTTTCTCCCACACAAGGGGAAGTGAAAACTTAAAAGAGTGACCTATTCTGGATATCATTGAGTTGCCTACTTTTTAGTCTGCTGAATGAACCCATGAGTTTGAGCCCTGTGACACCGTGTTTGTGTCTTGGTGAGGAATGTGACAGGGCTAGACAGCCTGTCTTCTCTTTGTTACGGCAGCTTGGACAGGAATCCTTAACATCCACATGAAGGAATCAGCGAGGGACTTTTTTCATATTAAAGTATGTCTTACGACATAAATTCTGAGAGAACACTGAGTCATTGTAAAGAAAACTTTTGAAATTTGATATTCTCTACTTCAAAATTAAAGCCCTCTGGAATTATAAATTAAGTACTACCTCAACCGAACCTAGACAGGAAATACTTTATCTGAACCGAATTAGGCCGGTCCCATGAGAACACAAAAAAGCAACAGAAAGCCTTTTACAAAGGCTGCAAAAACTTTTCTCACAAATTGGACACCGAGTCACAGTGAAATCGCTGTTTCCTTTTGGACCGGTGGTGTCCATGCAGATCATCCTGACCCCACGGAGCGTTCCGTTGGCTGGTGGAGGTCTTGCCTCGGTGAGCGGACTCTTGAGCGTGGGTGACTTTCCGGCAGGCAGGTGACCTCCTTGTCTTTGCTCCACAGGCACTGCCCAGACTCCAGGCGCACCTTTACGAAACGGTTGATGCTGGAGAAACATATCCAACTCATGCACGGTATTAAGGATCCTGACTTGAAAGAAATGACAGAAGCCACCAATGAGGAGGAAACAGAAATAAAAGAAGATACCAAGGTCAAACATCGCAGATGTTCTCTTTACAGTGACGTTGTGTTGACTTGCTTTTTCCGTTCATGCTGTCCACTTTAGATTTTTTGAAATCCAAGCCTATGCATGGAGGTATAACATAATAGGTCATCTCCCCGCACACCCATTCTGATCTTTCATCTTGCTCTACGAGCTGTTAAGTTTCTTCTGTCTCTTTCCAGAAAGAGCTTTAGGCATCTCCTTACGTATGTACATTACAGAATCTTGTGTGGACTCACGTAAACGGTCTCTTAGCCAGAGGGAACGTAGGAAGCTAGGTTCTATCTTGTTGGCAGTGTGTCGGTTGTGAAAGGTACCTAAGAAAAGTGAAGAGCTTCTTCTTCGTTTCACTTTGTCATAGTAAGAGAGAACGTCACAGATCTGCCGTGTCCTTAGGTCAGTGGGTAGTGAACTTGACTCAGACAACTGTGTATATGTTAGCCTGCGTGCGCCAAGTGCTATTCGAGGAGGGAGCGGTCCGGCAGACGTGTAGGGAGATCTGCTGTCTTTGGCACTGGCCTGGGTCTGGGATGTACCTGGGAGACAGCTTCTGCGTGCGTCCAAGGAGTTAATCATCGAGTAAAGCCGAGTCAGAGTACAAGCCGGACCGGAGTCGCATTGAATTGTAATCTTTTCCCCTCGACGGTTGGGGTTGGGGGAGGGGGTTGGGCCGGACTTACAGAATCTTTGTTCAGGGGCAGCTTCAGGCCGAGGCTGTGTGAGTGGTGCCCTGTCAACGGGCAGAAAAGATGGGCCACCGAGCAGGGAGGAGGGAGTGTCCCTCTTTCAGAGCTCTGGAAGCGTGAGGGGTCAGAGTTAGAAAGCCAGAAGGGAAGGAGAAAAGCATGGCTGGCAGGTGAGCCGTGTGACCAAGGGCAGTGAGTGTGCAGGGGAGCTCAGGAGCTGGACCAGCTGGGCCTTCCAGTGCCTTCCGTGCCAGTCCCAGAAAAGGCGATAGATACCCTGGCATTTCTCTGCCCGGCCCCTGCCTCCTCTCCGCACCACCTGCTGGCTTGGCTGTCGCCTTAGCTTCCCGGACCCGGCCCCCGGCCCTCCCCACAGCAGGCCTCTGTTGGAGTGTCACGGTCCCTGGGGCCATCCCTGATGGTGCAGGGGAGCCTCCCAAACCCCCGTCTCGTCCCAGCCCCATTCCATGGCCTGCTTTGTCTTCCTGGGGTCTGACCGACGGCCGATCTCCTGGCTTGTGGTTTTCGGTCCCGCTGTGTCAGGGCCTGCACTCTGGGGGGCCAGGGACTCATTTGTCCTCTGTGGGGCCCCACAGCTGCCGTGATGCCTGGGAATGTAGGAGCTCGGGTCCTGTGTGTGCAGCAGGTGAAAGGCAGGAGCCCCAGGGGAGCAGGGTGTGTGTGGGGGGTAGGTAGACACGCAGCTGTAGGAAGCCCCAAATCCTGAAACCCACAGTCCTCGCTGCCCTCGCAGCTCTAAAGCCCGAGGAGAACCGGTCGTGGATCCCCCATGGGGTGGAACGATCTTCACTCGTGTCGTCCCCTTTATTCTTCTCTTCAAGGTTCCCAGCCCCAAGCGGAAGTTGGAAGAACCAGTTTTAGAGTTCAGACCTGCCAGAGGGGCAATTACCCAGCCACTGAAGAAGCTCAAGATCAACGTTTTCAAGGTTCACAAATGTGCCGTGTGCGGCTTCACCACCGAAAACCTCCTGCAGTTCCACGAGCACATCCCGCAGCACAAGTCGGACGGCTCGTCCTACCAGTGCCGGGAGTGCGGCCTCTGCTACACGTCGCACGTGTCCCTGTCCAGGCACCTCTTCATCGTGCACAAGCTGAAGGAGCCGCAGCCCGTGTCCAAGCAGAACGGGGCCGGGGAAGAGAACCAGCAGGAGAACAAGCCGAGCCCCGAGGACGAGTCGCCCGACGGCACCGTGTCCGACCGGAAGTGCAAAGTGTGCGCGAAAACGTTTGAAACTGAAGCTGCCTTAAATGCTCACATGCGGACACATGGCATGGCCTTCATCAAGTCCAAAAGAGTGAGTTCGGCCGAGAAATAGCCACAGCCCTTCCGTAAGGAAGATCCCTGTCCACATTGGAAGAAAAGAGACATTTTTGTTACAGAAAGTTTGCAGTATACTAGAGTTAACAGTACTGTCTAGGCTGTTGCAATATATTCTCTCCGAGTGTCCCTTCCTCACCTGGTCGTGTACATCCTCGATAAGTATTAAAACAGTATTTGAGTTTAAAAGAGTTTGTATATATTTAAATGAATAACTTTTTTATACTCTTTGTTACATGTTTGTATCAGTATTTAGTGGAAGATGTTTTGAGGTCTTTTTTTTTTTTCCCTTTTTTTTGTTTTTTTGGTGGTTTTTTTTTTCCCCTTTATTCTTTTCTGGGTTAGAATTTTTCTTTTTGTACTGTTTTCTTTTAAAACAGAGTTCTTAGTAACAGGGGCAGTTCCTGAATTCAAATAAACCATTTTGTATGTTACCAATTTGAACGGGGGTGACTAACTCCAGGCTAAAATAAGGCCTTTTTTAGTGTTTTTAATTTTTAGAATTCACTACATAAATTGTAGGTATCGTGGGTCTCAAAAACATTAGGGACTTTTAAGTGTCTTAGCACTACCCTCAACGTGCCTGCTCTGAGTCGGCCAGTGCGCCTCTGACCTGTCACCGCACCCCCGGCGTGTCCAGGCCACGCCAGACGGTGTCGAAACCGGCCCGGCGGGTAGCTTCCCTTCCCAGCGGCGGATTCAAAACTTCGGCCCGAACTCCAGGAAGGAGCGTGCATTTCCCTTACTTCCACTGTAGAATGGGGAAGGAAGGGTATCCCCGAGGGAAGAGCCAGAGGCCGGTGGTCTTCTGGGTGGATTTTTGCGAGGCCGGCCGAGAGAGCACAAGGTCGTCAAGTCGCCCAAGGGCTGGACTACTGTAAAAACTTACACATCTGTCGTTAGACCAATAGATTTCTACAGTCGAGTTTTTTTGTCATGTAATTTATTAACTCTTACAAAGACACAACTAAAAATATCAAGTATTTCTCTGGCTCTTGACAGGAAAAAAAAGAAAATCACAGTTGACTTAATAACCCTTTGCCGTCTAAAGAGTTGGCGTTTCCTGTTCTGGGTGCTACTGCCAGACATCCCGGTACTTGGAGTTGGGATGCTCTACTTCCACCGCCGACCTGTCAGTGCAGCAGGGGCGGGGCGCGATGGGCTGGGCGGTCACGCACTGAGCCACCGGGCTCCGGTTCAGTCGTTTCAATAAGCATCTTCAATATCAGTGGTTCTGCTGCCTCAAAACACAGCAGGGCTCCTCCCCTGTCCCTTCCATTTATAGTTCTCTGGGAGAGTTCTATCTTTCCGTTTTGGGTTTTTTTTGTGTGTGTTTTCATTTGCATTTTATATCTTGTATTTATCCCCTAAACACGTTTTGTACTTTTTTTTTCTTTTTTTAAGAAAAGAAACTCGTTTGTGTATATATAGATATTTGCATGATATACTGTAGTCGACGTTTGGTTCCTCAGAAGGTCTTGCTGCTGTCAGGTGTTACGCACTACGTCCGTCATAACTGTATTAAACACATTTCATATGTAAATAAACGTGGGACATTGGCCCTTGCGCTTCTGTGAGAGAGTTATTGATGGGGGGGTGGTCTGGCATCTTCATGAAGTTGAGGAAGTGCTTGATGGCAGGAACAGGCTCCACGATATTGCAGAATTCCTCCTCCTGCCCCACCCCCCCACCTCCAGAAGAACGACATATTCGTTCTCATTGGCAGTCAGCCCTTTGTCACTTTCTCGTGGACTCCATCGATTCATGGTTATAATGCAAGGGCGTGATTAAAGGATTCCTACACTTGAAATTCCATTGCTGTTACTTGTTATATTTATACTTGTATTGCTCTGCATTGTATCCTAGCACTCTCATGTGTTTCTGCATATGAACCTTGCAATAAACCTGTGTGGTGGGTTGCACGGTCTTCATAGTCTAGTTTTACAGTCGAGGAAGCTGAGCTCAGATGCAGTTCTTTGCCTAAGCCCCCACAGCGGGGAAGCGGCTTCACGTATTAGAA